CGCGGGCGGAACTTGATTCTGGAAATAAGATCAAGTGTTTCAGAACAGATAATGGAGGAGAATACACAAGCGAAGAATTTGATGACTTTTGCAGGAAAGAAGGCATCAAAAGACAATTCACAGTGGCGAACACTCCTCAACAAAATGGAGTGACAGAGCGGATGAACAGAACCTTGTTAGAAAGAACAAGAGCAATGTTGAGGGATGTAGGCCTAGAAAAATCATTCTGGGCAGAAGTAGTCAATATCGCCTGTTATTTGGTGAATCGAGCTCCATTAACTGCAATAGAGCTGAAGACACCAATGGAGATGTGGACTGGAAAACCAGCTGATTATTCAAACCTCCATATATTTGGAAGTACAGTGTACGTGATGTACAACTCCCAAGAAATTTTAAAGTTGGATCCAAAATCCAGGAAATGCAAAATTCTTGGGTATGTGATGAGTAGCGCTGAAAAGTCAAAGACTACTCAGATACATGTGGAAAAAGGTTTTGAAGAAGACGAAAAGAAGAACTTGGTTTGTAGGTTGAACAAATCTCTGTACGGTCTAAAGCAGGCACCGAGGTGTTGGTATAAGAGATTTGATTCCTTCATTATGTGCCTTGGATACAAAAGACTTAATGCAAACCCTTGTGCTTATTTCAAGAGGTCTGGTGATAACGATTTTGTTATATTGTTGTTGTATGTGGATGACATGTTGGTTGCAGGACCCAACAAAGATCATATTGAAGAATTGAAGGCACAACTGGCTAGGGAATTTGAAATGAAGGACTTGGGATCAACAAACAAGATTCTAGGGATGCAAATTCACCGAGACAGAAGTAATAGGAAGATTTGGCTTTCACAAAAGAATTACTTGAAGAAAATCTTGTCACGATTTAGCATGCAAGATTGTAAGCCATTTTCTACCCCTCTTCCTATTAACTTCAAATTATCCTCCAGTATGAGTCCTAGCAATGAAGAAGAGAGGATGGAGATGTCTCGAGTACCGTATGCATTAGCAATGGGAAGTTTAATGTTCACTATGATATGCACAAGACCAGACATTGCACAAGCAATGGGAGTGGTTAGTTGGTACATGGCGAATCCAAGCAAAGAGCATTGGAATACAGTGAAGAGGATCCTGAGATACATCAAAGGAACCTCAAATGTTGCATTATGTTACAGAGGATCAAACTTACTAATAAATGGTTATGTAGATTCTGACTATGCAGGGGATTTGGATAAAAGCAAATCTACTACAGGATATGTGTTCAAAGTTGCTAGTGGAGCTGTAAGTTGGGTTTCAAAATTGCAGTCAGTTGTGGCTACGTCCACAACAGAGGCAGAATATATAGCAGCTACACAAGCCAGTAAAGAAGCAATTTGGTTTAAGATGCTATTGGAGGAGCTTGGGCACAATCAAGAGCATGTTTCTCTGTTTTGTGACAGTCAAAGCGCCTTACATCTAGCAAGGAATCCAGCATTTCTTTCAAGAACAAAGAACATACGAGTTCAGTATCATTTCATTCTTGAAAAGGTGGAAGAAGGAACGATAGATATGCAGAAGATCCACACCAAAGACAACATAGCAGATTTCATGACGAATGCGATCAACGCTGATAAATTTACCTGGTGTCGATCCTCTTGTGGCCTGTCAGAGACGTAAGCAACATGAAGGTACAAGGTAGAAAGAATGGTGTGAAGATATGATTGTTCCAATCAAATCTTCAAGTGGGAGATTGTTGAAAAGTCAAATTCTTTGGCTATTAGCAGCCAGCGGTTATCTTTTCCAAATTGGGCTGCTAAAATGGTTGAAAATTAGCAAGGTACAACTACACATTTAGTCATTATATTTTAGGGTATTTACAAATTAGTCTTTAAGTTTCAACTATAAATACCTTAGCTCATTTAGCTTCAAAACTATCCCAAAGCATTCTAGCTTTCTTCCAATACTAGAGAGAATTTAAAGAGTTTCTTGAGAGTTGTTTTCTTCTTTTTATCAAGAGAGAATTATCATTGTTTTCTCCTTGGTCGATCGAGAGAAGTTGTAATTCCTATTTTCTCATAGTGAAATTCTTCTACCGTTGCCCGTGGTTTTTACCCTATATTATTCATGGGTTTTCCACGTAAATTTTGTGTCTCTTTTATCTTCATTTTTATTTTCTCAAATTATCAGTTGCGATTTTGCTCTATACGATAGCCGTCTTCCGCAACACATTTTGATCCCTGATTACACCCCTAGTTACAGCATCGGCATTACGCGGATCTATGGCCCCATCAATGTTCAACTTTACTGCTCCACCCCAGGGTGGAGCCATCGTAACTTCATGTTCTGCTTAGGCTGGCTGCATTAGTTCCATCCAAGATTCATTTTGATTGATTGTGCCTACGTTCGAGCAGAGCTAATGACTTCTATGAAGGGCCACACAGGTCCATTAAACACTAAATTGTTATCTTGTTTCCAAAGACGCTAAGCAGTTATCCCGAATATGTGCCTCCAGTGGCAATATCCACAATCGAGTCTTGCACTAGTAGAGAAGTTAAAGTGAATACAGTTAAGTGGGGTAAAGAATAAAATAAGCATCTGATGCGGTTAGGGACAATCTGATCCCATACCATCTTAGTCTTTGGACTATCACGAAGAACATGAGTTACTGTTTCTTCACCACTATTACAAATCAGATAGATGGATTCAGAGGTTAAACCGCGTCTTGCTCTTTTAGAATTAGTCATAATACGGGTCGGATGACTAACCAAGAGAACTGTTTCACCCAAATTTTATCTTGGGTTTCCCATTCGTAGCTTCGCAAGGCATTGAATGCAGGGGGGGATTAAATATGGAATAATAACATTATACAAAATATTATCATTAGTGTGACACATATGTTTTCATCCTAAAAATTTTATAAATTTATTCACATCTAAAATTGTATATGTTAGGCCTTGATATAAAATCCTGTATCTACCTCTAATTATTTTCTAATTTTTTTCAAATAAATAAATAATTTTTGATACTGTAATTTCCATGTTAAAATTCGAAACACTCGTGAATAATATGGGATGCGAAATCAAATGGAGCTTGTTGGACAAGTGATTAGTTGACTATTAATTAGTATTTGTTAGAGTTTATTTATTATTAATTTAGATATAAAAAAAATCCATTGATGTAATGGGCTAAACATTCATGTATTGCAATTTATTTCAAATAAAAAATAGACGTTTAACATTTTCTCTCTGCTTAATATTCATCTAAGCAAAACATGCCCTACTTGTCAGAATTAAGAAATGCTGCAGATTTGTAAACAAACGGCGCCGTATCCTCTTAATTTACAGCGCAACTCCTCATATTCTCATTTACCTATTGTTGCTGCTTCTGTTTCTTTTTCATTTATCTCGTATTCCCATTTAAATAATCAAAATTTAAAATTTATTTATTGAACGACCTCTCCGTGATTAAAGAGATCCTTAATTTGGACAATTATGTTTGCGCAATGTGTGTTGTTATTAACTTAAAAAGATTATAAATATATATTACTTTATAATTATTTTAAATTATTAAAAAATCAACGATTAAAGCTTTTATTTAATTTATTCAGTTCGGATTTATTTATTTTAATATCTGTATTTTTTAAATTTAAATTTTATTTTAATATAATACATTGTGTTTTGTATTTCTACAATATTATCCGTAAATTCAAATTAAAAATCAACATTAATAGATGTATTCAAAATGAAGACATAATTCATTTCTATTATTATCTAATCACATATTTAAATTTATATACAAATTTAGTTAAATATATTTAATCAATAAAAATCATATAACAATTTAACTTTTTTTTATATTTTTTGAGTAATTTTTTTAATCTTTTTAATTGGTTTTTTTTAATGAAGAAATTACGTTTCTTGCTTCTGGAAATCAAAACGAAGAAACTTGAGCGTGTTCAACGTAAATCTAAATTCTTACAGTTTGTGTGCCATAAAGTCTTCCAATCAATCACATAATCTGAGTCTAGAATTTGTTATATTTTATATAAATTTATTTATAAAAAAGATTAATAAGTTTTGTTCAAAAAAAATATTAATAAGTTACTGTAGGTAGGTGGAGTATTTAAGTGTTCGTATATAAACTTTATAATTAAATCTGAATTGATTTTAGATGTTTAATTTCTTATTATGTTATTTAAAAACATAGTAATGTATGAAAATAAAAATGTTATTAAATGATATTTATCATCATTTAAAAATATACTTTTATACTTATTAACTAAATTGATAATTAATTGACTCGTAATATCAATTCAGTGTAAAATATTATGTAGAATACAAACATTGAAGTTGGCTTTTCTGTCATCTAAAAAAATTAAATTAAATTAAATTAAAGATAACTAGAAATTACACGTCTGAAAATGAAAGATATTCCGAAAACTGAAGTTTCAAAGAAAGAACGGTGAGGATGTGGAGACACATGGCAGCTGCATGCAGCCTTGGAGCATACTAACAGACGAGTTATTAGAACATACTGAGCTGTAGAGAGAAGTGACGTTGGTCCAAAACACATAAACAGAACTTTCGAAAGATCGAATACAGCTCAGCCGTTCGATCCTCCAAGAAAAAATACACTCAACAATAATAAAATAATTTTTTTTATTCCTTTTTTAAAATAACTAAATATTCTCAAATTTTGTTGCTTTTGTGCCTTTATTTTGTCTTTAAAAAGTACTAATAAAAAAGAATGGTGAGCGATTTCGGAACTTTTGCATACACGTCTTGGCTTTTAAGCGAGTAAACAGAACTTTCGAAAGATCGAATACAGCTCAGCCGTTCGATCCTCCAAGAAAAAATACACTCAACAATAATAAAATAATTTTTTTTATTCCTTTTTTAAAATAACTAAATATTCTCAAATTTTGTTGCTTTTGTGCCTTTATTTTGTCTTTAAAAAGTACTAATAAAAAAGAATGGTGAGCGATTTCGGAACTTTTGCATACACGTCTTGGCTTTTAAGCGAGGCCTTCAGTCCACAATATTTCCCAACTTACCCAACTCCACCACCTCCCCTGCCCACCATTTTCCTCCCCTCGTCCGCCGTTTCTTCCGCCATATTGCCGCCATTTCTATTCTCTTTCTCATAACTTCAACGTTAACAAAAAAACACAAATACTTGGAATTTGGATCTTAATACGAAAATCCGAAACGAGTCTTTCTTGATATTCAAACTCCCTGTAGAAGGCTACATTTCTGAAGGTAAGTTCAAGTTTCTGGAATTGAAAAACTATAGTATGTTTTCCTTTTTTCTGATTACTTTAGCTTTCGCTTAGCGACAAATGTCGGGAGAGTACAGTCGAAAGTGATGAGTGAAATTGAAAACAGATTCTGTTTTTGTTTTCATTTCCGAACTTATCTTGTTTACGTTTTTTCCTTTTCTGATTGCAAGACAGATGTTCGGTTTTATGCTGAGTACAATGTTCCCCTTCTCTCAAAGGTTTTTTTTAGATTGCTTTTTAATCATATTTTGTCGGTGAAGCTTACTGTTTTCGGATTTCTTCCACTTCAAGTCTTTTCATATTCTGCTTCTCTCCCGTTTTATTTTTAATTTGCTATAATTTAACTATAATCTAAGATTTGCTTCATTGATTTTCATATCTTTAAGTAAAGTCCTTGTCGTTTTCTTCTTCTTCTTCTTCTTCTTCTTCTTCTTCCTTTCCGTTTGTTTTTACAGTTTCAAGGAAATCTATGTCACTTAATTCTGAGATCTTAGTTCTTTGGTTCGGTCTTTTTTGAAAAGTGAAGCACCTGTTTGGCTCGAAAATGCAAGCTCAACTGATTCAATTGCAACAATCGAAACAGTATCGATCTTATTTACTTCAATTTTAAACCATTGGTTTATGATATTTTTTAGGTGTAAGATAATGGATGTGACTTGATTCTTTTATTTTTTGCCCTTCTCATTTCAATACTAAATTGACGGCTTGTCTTTATTTTATTATTTTTTCAGTTCTGAACCACTGCCAATACTGACTCCTGCTTGTTCTTAGTTGTCCAAGCACTCAAGTTTTTTTTTTAAAGTTTTCATGTTATGGTTCTGTTTGGTGGCTCAGAAAATATAGGAATGAGAAGAAAATTTCCGTTTCTGACAACTGTGTTATTATTTGACTTGGTCGAAGTGAATTCTAGTTCATCGACAATTTAAACCAGAAAAAGGAAAAAAAAGGGTGACTTTGTTCTTAGGATTCTGTGTCGATAAGAGACAATTAATAGTTTGGTGTACGTGTGAGTAGTAACTAGACATTATTCCAACATGCAATGTTTTTTTTAAATGTTAGAAATCCGATGGTTAATAATCAATAAGCTGTTTCATAACTCAGCTGCCTCCTATTGTTAATTAATGTTTCGTTCTTTTTTCCTCCTTAACTCTTTCAAGATCCTTAAAACATTTAGTTTGTTCGAGCTCTGTTTCATGACAGAATATGACGTAACTAGCTGTTTTCAGACATTGTTTATGATTTGCTTTTGAGAAATTCAACTTGGACTTGATATTTAAAAATATAGTTTCAGTTTTCTTCTTTTCGTTGTATATCTTTCTTAACGAGTTATATGGGTTCCCGGACCTAGGTGATAAACCAGATTTAAGTGATGGACCGCCGTTGGCCATGGAAGAAAAAATCATCCGATAAGGCCTCTGTTGCTGCCGCTGCCGCTGCTACTTTGGCTTCAGTGGCATCTCAAGGCGATCAGGTAAACCTTTTCAACATTATTTTACTTAATTATAACGCATCAAACTTGCTTGCTTGGAGAATTTTCAATTTGTTCAATGTTCATCTCTGCTTATCATCTGAATGATTGAGCCATTTTATCTAACACTGGTATTCTGGTGATTTTCTGTTGTTACAGGATACATTCAAAAAAACAAAGTATGTTCAAGTTACTGTGGAATCATATTCACATCTCAGTGGTTTGGAAAATCGAGTGAAAACATACGAGGAACAAGTTCAATCATTGGAGGATGAGATTAAGGACTTGAACGAAAAGCTCTCGGAGGCCATTTCGGAGATTTCTGCCAAGGAAGACCTGGTGAAACAGCACACTAAAGTTGCAGAAGAGGCTGTCTGGGGTTAGTCTATGCTCAAACATTCTAAACGTAGTGTAAGAATAAAGGTCCTCCCTATACTGTTAGCCTGAAAATTTTCTCAATCTTTGCTGTAGGTTGGGAAAAGGCTGAAGCTGAGGCTTTGGCATTGAAAAATAACCTGGAATCCATTATGCTTTCAAAGCTTGCTGCTGAAGACAAGGCATCACATTTGGACGACGCTCTTAAGGAGTGCATGCTGCAAATCCGGAATCTGAATGAAGAGCACAAACAGACATTGCAAGATGTGGTAATTAGCAAAGACAAGCAATGTGAAAAGATTAAGTTTGAGCTCGAAGCTAAGATAGCTAATTTAGACCAACAATTTCTTAAGTGTGAAGACGAAAATGCTGCAATTTCAAGGTCTTTGCAAGAACATTCTAGCATGCTGATCAAGATGGGTGAAGAAAAATCACAAGCTGAGGCTGAGATTGGGCTTCTGAAGGCTAACATTGAATATTGTGAAAGGGAAATAAATTCACTGAAGTATGAACTCCATGTAGCTTCCAAAGAGCTAGAAATACGTAACGAAGAAAAGAATATGAGCATGAGGTCTGCAGAAGTTGCCAACAAGCAGCATATGGAGGGTGTCAAAAAGATTGCAAAGCTAGAATCTGAGTGCCAAAGACTGCGTGGTCTTGTGCGGAAGAAGTTGCCGGGGCCTGCTGCACTTGCTCAAATGAAGCTAGAGGTTGAGAGTTTAGGAAGGGATTATGGAGACTCTCGGCTAAAGAGGTCTCCTTCTCGGCCTTCAACTCCTCACCTGTCCACAGCAACCGATTTTTCCCTTGACAATACACAGAAGTTCCTTAAAGAGAACGAATTGCTAGCAGAACGTTTGTTGGCAGCGGAAGAAGAGACAAAGATGCTGAAAGAAGCTTTGGCAAAACGTAACAGTGAACTAGTGGCTTCTAGGAATCTATGTGCTAAGACATCAAGCAAGCTTCAAGCTTTCGAAGCTCAACTTGCCATCACAAACCAGCGGAGAAGTCCCTCAAAAACAATTGTTCAGCTACCTGCAGAAGTTCACTCAAATCAAAATGCTAGCAGTCCACCAAGTTTAAATTCTTTGTCTGAAGATGGAAATGATGATGATAAAAGCTGTGTTGAATCATGGGCAACTGCTTTGATCCCTGAGCTATCTCAATTCAAGATGGAAAACAACACTGAGAAGTCAAACAGAACTGAGAATGCGAAACACTTAGACCTTATGGACGACTTTCTTGAGATGGAGAAGTTTGCTTGTTCTTCAAATGATTCAACTGGAAACGGTGCAGTCACCATTACAGATTGTACACACAATAAGATATCTGATATTGTTAATGGGGATGCTTCGAGGGATATTTCTTGCAAGGAACTACATTCTGAAAAGCGGCACGATTCATTCCTTCCAGAATCTGAAGCCGACCAATCGCCTGTTCTGAAGCTTCGGACAAAGCTCTCCAGCATGCTTGAATCTATATCTAAGGATGCTGACATGCAGAAAATTCTGGAGGACATCAAACATGCTGTGGACGATACTTATGATAGCCTGAGAAAGCACTCCATAAATTGTAGTGTAATTGCAGATGAGAAAATTGCTATGTCCACTGGTGATAAGGTTACTTCAGAACCCTTGCAAATTATAAGCGAAGAATTAGCTGATGCAATTTCTCAAATTCATGATTTTATACTGTTCCTGGGAAGAGAAGCAACTGCAGTTGATGACATAAGCTCTGATGGGAATGGATTAAGCCATAAAATTGAGGAGTTCTCGGTTACTTACAATAAGGTCTTTTGCAGCATTGCCAGTTTGAATGATTTCGTTTTCGATCTTTCAACAGTTTTAGCTAAAGCTGGTGAATTAAGATTCAATGTGCTTGGCTATAAGGGTAATGAAGTGGAAATCAACAGTCCACATTGCATCGATAAGGTTGCTTTACCAGAGAATATGGTAACTCAAAGGGATTCTTCAGGAGGAAGATATCAAAATGGATGTTCCCACATTTTGAGTCCCACTTCCAATCCTGGGGTTCCCGATAATGGATATGAATCAAAACAATCAGGCAAATTCTCTTCAGAAGAGTTGGAAGAATTGAAGTTGGAGAAAGAAAAGATGGCAACCGATCTTGCTCGATCTACTGAAAACCTGGAAATCACTAAGTCTCAATTACATGAAACCGAGCAACTTTTAGCAGAGGCTAGATCTCAGTTGGCTTCTGCTCAGAACTCAAACAGCTTGGCTGAGACACAGCTCAAGTGCATGGTAGAGTCCTATAAATCACTCGAAAGACGTGCAGAGGAGTTAGAGACTGAGGTAAACTTTCTCCGTGGAAAAATAGAAACTCTGGATAATGAGCTTCAAGATGAAAAGAGAAATCATCAAGATGCTTTAGCCAGATGTAAGGAAGTCGAAGCGCTATTGCAAAGGTAAGCCTCAAACTCATTTCATGTGGTTTGGAACTACGTTACTAACTTTCTCAGACTTTGGCGTTAATGTTAGACACTGGAATTTATATGTCGGAACCTCTGATTGTATGGTTCTATCTTCTAAATGCGATGTTTTTACTCGTAAAAATTTCTTACATAATTGTTGTCCACTTTTTTAGGAACGAGAACTGTTCTGTTTGTGCTTCAGCAGCTGATAATGACCTCAAGAACAAGCAGGTGAGGACTATAATTTCTTAAAATTAGTTTTTCAACATTAAAATCTGATGTTACTGTTTACAAGCACAAAACATCCAACAAATATATGATCAGTTAACAAAGTTGCTGATAATGAAACAGAACAATTTTTGTACAGTTCACGTTTAAAGTTCTAAAGCAACCGAGTTAAGATAGTTTCCTTCGCTTTCAGGAGAAAGAATTAGCAGCTGCAGCGGAGAAACTGGCGCAGTGTCAAGAAACTATATTCCTTCTTGGCAAGCAATTGAAATCTCTGCATCCTACGACGGACACGATGGGGTCACCATACAAAGAGTGGAAGCGAAATGGTGAAAGTTTGAGTGAGGGTGAATCGATGACCAGCGGAATCAACTTGAAAGACTTGGATCAGGCAGAGACAGGCAATGGAAGCAGCATAACAGGTGCAGAGTCCCCCATGCCTATGGAGTCATATAACACGCCATGTAGCACTTCTGATACTGAAGCAAACCTTTCGACATTGCGAATCAAGTCGAAGAACGCAAAACACAGGTCTTGCGTGTCGAGCTCTTCCTTTTCTTATTCGGACTCGGACCCAACGCCGGGGAAACAATCGCGAGGCTTTAGCAGATTCTTTTCCTCTAAAGGGAAGAATGGTCAGTAAACCTGCAAAAGGCGTAGAAGTTGATGATTGAGGCGACGGGTAATAGTACTTAGAATAATCCAAGTTTAGACATCTCGTTTTCGACTTTGCTACTCAACTATGCTATTGGGCTTGACATTGTGAACTAATGCTCTGACGTAGATGTAATTTTATTAATATTGACCGTTTATGTAGCCATATTTGTTACATAAATAATTATATTATACTTTTAAAGTATATTTATATTAATAAATTTAAGTAAAAAGATCACAGAAAGCAAATTGTCTAAATTGATATTAAGATAACATTGTTTTACATTTAAGTGTTATGAGCATAAATAATTACAAGGGGCGGATGCACTAAGCTCTCCTAGAGGTCAAGTGCATCCCATTATTTAGGGGGAAAAAGTGATATTTAGTATAATATGTTAAATAAAAATGGAATAATTTTTTTTTGCACCCTCATTATTTTTAAGAAAAGAAAATTAAAATTTTAGACCTCTATTTATAAATTTCTGGATCCACCACTGATAATTACATCAATCTAATATGGAAATAAATGAATATAAAGTGTACGTAAGTAATTTAAAATCGAAAATCAAAATTTCTATAGTAACAATTGTTAGAGTAGGTGGTTAAAAATTCTCCATTGACATATTCTTCCTCTTAGGTTGTGGGTTTAATACCATTAGGAGCAAAGTTTTCTTTCCTCTTTTTCTAGGTAGAAATTGTTCAAATTTTATATAATTTTATTAATATTTTATCTATTTTTTAGCTATAATGTGAAAATTAGGCCCTAAGGATTATCAAAATGGCATTTTTAATCATTTTAGTCTTTAACATCTCATTTTATGGGGGGAAATCTTTAACGTTTAATGAAATATTCATTTTAACTTTTATTCTTTTATTTTGGAGCATTTTGATTCTTCAATATTTTATTTTAGGATAAAAATACTCTGAAGTGTTAGCCGTTTATTAACTAATGATTTTAAACTATCCATCCATAAAAAAAATTAAAAATATGGATTAAAATGATTATTGAGAGTGATTTTTGGTATTATCTCTTTTGTTATCAAAGAAGTTCCAATAAGTTGCGTGTGGGGAAGTATATCTCATCTCCCGTGGGTTGAATGTGATTTAATCGGGGAAATGGAAAGTTGAGTCCAACCATTGTCTGCTCAAAACAAGTTAAAGGTTATGATAATATTATAATCTTTTGTCAACTGATGTTTGGCTATTATTTATATACTTCCACGTATGCATTTAAATCTTTTGTTTGTTTTTTTGTTTAACAGCTCTCGCGGATTCCTATTTGCCTTTCATCGTTCCAGCAATTTCCTTAGCTTTGTTAATGGTAAAATATTAGTAATGATTGATTTTTCCTTCTAATTACGTCAGATTCTAATGGTTTTACATATCATGGTTAATGGGGTGAACGAATTGAACTTAGCTCAAACTCTAAAATGTTTGAAATTTTAATTAATTTAATTAAATTGCATTTTTAAAGAGTATGATTAATTTAATATTGAAGATTAAAATAATTAAGTCTGTCTGATTGGGAGCGACGCCTTGACTACAAATTTTATTTCATGTTTTAGTTATAATTCTGTGAATCAAACTCGAAATTAAGTCGTATTTAATATTTAGTTTGATGTGCATCAGTGCATGAATCAGTCAGATTAAATTAATTTTGTTTTATCGGAATTGTTAAGGTAGCAGAGAAGAGACGATGGTTTGTGGTGGTCATTGATAATTCAATTCTTTTGATGAACTAAGAACCGGTGGTCTAGGGATGGATTTAGGTGGTACAAATTTTTATTGATTAGAAACGTAATAAATTTAATTAAAGAATATATAATATTGTCTTAATCACAGTGGGTGTTGCTCTTTGCTGTCAAGCAATTGGTTTTGAAAGCGTATAGCATCTACTAATCACGTATGTTTTGTCCTTGGAGTAAATGACAAGTGCGCACTTAAGAGAATCAAATTAAGACCCAACACTCAAATTATAGTACAAGATCGAGTGAAGCAATTTTCTTTTTATATAAATGAAGCCAACATGGACATAATACGTACGGAAACTATATTACGAGATAAATAAAACAGACAGACGACACACATTTTATTCTAAGATTTAAAAAAAAAAACCTTAACTTTTTACGAAGGAACTAAATGGCTAAATAGCATAATTGGCGGCCAATCATAACATGTGAGCCTTTGCCGTAATGTTTGATGAATTTGATTGGTTCGTGGTCCCTTGTTCTAACGAAAATATAGGGATTAGATTAAATGAATTAACGTCATACAAATATGATAACTTAATGGTATAGGTATAACAATCTCATACCAAAAGAAAACATAAAATCAAATACTTTATAGATCCACAATTTGCTTCTATAGTAATTCACCCAAGTCGTGGCAAATGACATTCAATTCCTCGGCATGATCTTGTTTTAAACTTCGTGTACATAAATAAAGAATAAAACAAACACAATTAATAATATGGAAAATATTCGATTAAATAATTTAAATAGAAAACCATACATATGTGAATAGAAATAAGTTGAGGCATGCAATTATGCAATTTCCTTAAGATAGATTTTCGTCTACTCGTCGGTGTTCGAGATCTTTGGTTGTCTGTCTCCAGGATACAATAACGAGATGGTCAGCACACAGTAGCACGATTGTCGAGATTGCGAACTATTTAATTGTTTTTTTAATTGTTTTATAGTGATTTCACATTGTGAACAATTGGAAATTTTTACCTAATGAAGTATTAATGAGAATCAAGCAATTTCCAAAATTATTGTTTTGATTAAATGAACTTTTTAATATTTATCCTTTTAATTCCAAAAAAAAATTTGAAATGATACACTCTATTTGAGGAAAATATCTCACATTTGGGTTAAAATATTTGCAATCCCATAAAAAGCTCGACTGGATCGAATATTAACGTTACCCACATTGTGCATGTATGCACATTTACGAACCATCAATTGATTTCACATTTTTCTCAACAACGTTTGGATCAATTTCTCATTCAAAACTCCAAAATTATCAATTTTTTCCAACAACCCCCCACATGAATGGAATTGATCATTTATCAAAACCATTTTGACTTGATGTGGTGATAGACTCTACGATCGATAATCGCATAAGATAGGTAGGTGTCCCCGTTTGAACCTTACCTTGTGACAGCATATTTACTTTATAGCTGACTAGTAGACGTGATGTCCTTGAACTGTTCTGTCAAAGAGTTTGAAAGAACTATGTCCAATAGTCTCCTTGAAGCGGCCCCACTTCACTCTCACATAGGTGACTTATGTTGTTCAACTCTTCGAAGCACACAATGGTCATTAAAAATTTTGCTTAGCCTATACCAATTGGATCATTTTTTTCATCATAGGAACGAACTTAGGATAATAAACCCTCAAAATGACCACACACGGTTTATGCAATTAGGTTATCCCTTTGAACCTAGATCTTGGGATCTTCAGTCAATAAGGTAGGGTTTTCCTTCACATAAAACCTTTCATTTCAAGGGCTTTAGTCTCATTTCTTTCAATGTTTTATCAACTTGATCTCAATATTAACCCTTCAGCTAGTGAATTTGCGATGTTATCATTTGATCTTACAAAGTCAACAGTGATAACTCTATTTGAGATCAATTGTCTAATGGTATTGTGTTGATGATGGATATATCAAAACTTACCATTATACATAAAGTTATGTGCTCTACCAATATATGAATATTGTGGGTACAAACTTTGGTCATTCAAGAATATCCTTCAAGAAATTCTAAAGTCATTCTACTTATTCTCTAGACTTATCTAGAGATGCAAATACTTATTCTATTTTGGATTTGATTATAATCGTTTTCTTGAGGATTTCTATGACATTACTGCTCTTCCTAATGTGAAACATATTCACATGTGCCTTTAATATCTTGAATATTAGATACTCAACTGAAATCATAGTATCCTTCTAAGGAAGCATGATCTTGGGAAAATACAATCCATACCCTTGAGCATATCCACGGTATCTCAGTTCTCTCATAATTTCTTTTCAGAGGTTTGTTATAATGACAATATATTTGATTCAACATTTTGTTGAACATATATACTTATCTTTATTGGCAGTCTTCAATCATCTTCCTTAGTTGTATAAGGGAATATATTTCCATATAATGAGATATTCTTTGATTTCGTTATCGTGTTCTTGTGAGTCTCGGGATTCTTTGATTCGTACACAAGATGTCGACATGTCTTGTTACAATCTACATAGCCAATATAATCCATCGATTTGGGATTTTGTTTCCTTTGATAATAAGATCATTAACTTTACAAGACATCCCCACATTTTTAAGTAATTGTAGAAAGTTTTTCTACATTTACATAATTCATATGATGTCTTGTCAATTTTTATCTGGAGAACCTTATTTAAAAGATAATTAGTTGAAAAACATCTTCCCCATATATTCTGTGATAACCTAAAACTTCTTAGCATTGCGGTTATCATTTCTTTTTTAAGAATTAATTCTTCCGCTTTGCTACCCCCATGATAGTTTCACTTTATGAATAATATCATGTTGTGCATAGTATTGACTAATTAATGGTTCAATTTATTCACCGCCATTATCACTTCTTACCATCTTAATGATTTTATTAAGTTGGTTTTCAACTTTGAATTTATAAGAATAGATTTCTATATAACTTCATCTTTGCTATTTAGCAAATGTATAGCAATACATTTTGTTATCACCAATGAAGGTAATAAAATATTTATTTATTTTTATTTGTAAAATTAGATAAGGTAAACCCATTATTACGACATGAATTCAATTTTCAAAATAAGTTTACTTTCAATATCTCACTTTACAAATATATTAAGATTTTAAAGAAATAAAGTTAATGTTTTATTTCTTTCATTTAAAATAGAATCATACTTGATTCCCAATAAAAATAAATTCAATCCACCGATTTATTTTCTTTTACAAATCATGAAAATAAATCCAACGATTTATTTCCTTTTACAAACAAGAATCATACAAGAATCCCAAAAAAATAAATATAATGATTTATTTCCTTTTACAAAACTGAAAAATAAATCCAATGATTTATTTCCTGTTACAAAACTGAAAAATAAATCCAATGATTTATTTCCTATTACAAAATTGGAAAATAAATCTAATGATTTATTTTCTATTACAAAATAGGAAAATAAATCCAATGATTTA